AAACACCTTGCCTTGAAAACTGCAGGGACTCGTCCAGGCAGTTGCCGCAGAATCGGTAACGGTTGAGTGTGGATTAAAAAAAAAAAAATTGTCTTACCTTTTCTAGTGCCATCTCCTTTTCTGCAGCATTAATCTTTTTCAGGTCTAGAATCATTTTTTCTGACTCAGCTTTCTGTTTGTTCATGGCAGTCTCATGGTCCCGAATAGCTCTTTGCTTTTCTTCTTCCCGAAGAAGACTAAGTTCTACCAACTGCTGTTTTCTTTGAGTATTCACCTGAATCAGCTCTTCCCTCAGAGTGTGGATCTGGGCTTCCATATCACAGATGATCTTTAAAATAACAATACCACCAATCAACAAGAAGAATTACTTTGGCTTATTTTTTATGCCAAAAAAAACTTGCATCAGTTAGAACTGAAAAGTTACAATATGAAAGGTAGGGAAATGCTTTCTCAAATTATTGAGAGATTATAGTGAGACTTATAAGTAAACTTCCAATGAGGATTCATAGCAAACTAGTTATCCCTGAAGGAGCAGAAACAGCATTGCGGCAGAGATCAGTGGCCAGATGGTGAATTCTGGCTGGTGGAGAGATCATGAGATCATCCACTTGCACTCCGGACAGCTGCTCCTTGTGAGTAGACTGCGGAACTGAGGTTTTTGTGATTGGCTCATGAGTTGAGCGGCTGGGAGTTGAGGGATTTCAATCAAGCTCACAGCCATAATATAGCCTTTATGGACAAAAGGTTTGCATGAGCTTCATTTCTTAAACACTTTTGGATTTAACTAATTTACAGCTAAAGAAAGATTTCTCTGAGTGGCAGGATAAGAACATTCCACTTGGTGAGTTAATATTATTTCTGGATTACAAAAATAATAATAATAATAAAGATTTAAAACTTTTGGCAAAAAGCTTAACAAGGAGTGGATATAAGACAGTTTAAAACAGATATGGGGATAGTTATTTTGAAAGATTATTTTTTGGTGAAAGTGCTTTTGAACAAATTGGAATTAAAATAGACAAACAAACCAGACCTTCATGGGAATGCTTTTTGTTTACTATTAAAGTGTGCAGATAATTGGTGGATTTTACAAAACAAGGTAATATGAGTCAGACTGTGATGCTGACTATAACTACAAAGTGCCATTTGAGACAAAAATATTAAGGGCACAGGAAAATAAAATAGAAAAAAAGGTGGGAAGCTTGCCTTTTTTCTTTCCCTTGTTTGAGACACTTTCTTATAATATCATCATAGCAACCACCACAAAAACAGCAAAAATAGTAGAGGGGAGGAGAGGATTGCTAGAGCAACCTGCAGAGAGAGGAATTACACAGATTTGTTTCAGAAAATGTTTGAGCAATTGGGCAGTAAATTAGCTGAATCACTTGATATTAAATTGACAGCTTTTGAAAAAAGAATGGATGAAAGACTTGAAAAGATGAAAGAGGAGATGAAAGAAGAAGTTAAGAAGATGGAAAGCTCTGTAAAACAACTGTCTGGAGCTGTAAAACAAATTAATGACAAAGTGGAAATTTTGGAGAGTAAGACAGAAGTTATAGACAGAGAGCTGGAAAATAAACTAGATAATCTGGCTCTATTCGAAATGAGACAGAAGGAATTTTGTTCAAGATTTAGAGCAATCTAAATCTGGTGAATTTATTAGATTCTGATGAAGATACTAAAGAAAAGGTTATGAAAGCTTTAGCAAAATTTTGGATTGGGATGAGGAAGATACAGAGGCAGAAACTGATGAAAATATATAGAATACAAGATTTGTGAGAATAAGAAAAGTTCCGAGGGATGTTTTGGTGCCCTTTGTCAGGAAGAAGACAAGGGATGAAGTTTTGCAGCAGCATTTTAATATAAGACTGAAGACTGATAATACAGATGTAATTGTTCTTAAATAAACTGCTATTAGAATTTTGTGTAATAGAAAAGAGTATTCTTTTTTGACTAAGAGATTAAAGCAGAAAAAGATTCCATTTTGACTGGACAAATTGGAAGGCGTGATTTTTAAACAGCAGAGGTTTTGTTTAAATTCTGTCCAGAAGATGAGAGAATTTCTAGAAAAATTCAAAGAGGAATTGGAGGAGATTCAAATGGAGTTGTCAGAGGAGACTACACAAAAACTACAAAAAAAAAAAGCTAGTTATAGATTTTTCTAAATTTTTGGCTTGATTATGGATTATAAACACTTAACATGGAATGTAAATGGAGCAAATGCTCTTCAAAAGAGAAAACAAAAATATTTGATTATTTTAATTTGCCTACAAGAGACACATATTAGAAAAAAGGACATAAAATATTTGATTTATAAAAATTTGGATGAAGAATTTATTTCAGCAGGAAAAGGAAGGAAGGAAGGAAGGAAGGAAGGA